GCTTACTTGTGTGCGCGTGTTTTAATGCTTGCTGTTATGCCTTCCATTAAAATGATCCCGAATGGCAGAAGGATAATTACTGAATGGAAATGAACTGAGTTTTGGATCTGTTCTTTTTTCTTTCTTTAATCTGTGTGTGCGCTCTCTTTCCAGATGAGAACGAGTGTGCATTAGGTGGTCACGGGTGTGACACCAACGCTCGTTGTGGTAACGTCATTGGCTCTTATTTCTGCCAGTGCTACCAGGGCTTCAATGGAGACGGGCACTCTTGTTTTGGTGGGTAAGCAGTGTGTGGTGTGTTTTCCACATTAGTGGTGCTCAGTAGTCCACCAGTGCTACTTATGTCATGCAAACAATTAATCATTTGTGCCAGCAGCCCTTGGGCATACAGCACTCACCAGATACCTTCAGAATTGTCCTTGTTTACAGACATTGATGAGTGTGCTCTAAACAACGGCCACTGTCAACACAACTGCTCCAACGAACCAGGAGGGTACAGCTGCCAGTGTGACCTAGGCTACCAGCTGGACAAGGATGGACTCAACTGCACAGGTAAAACCATAGGCTGTATATACAATATTTTATCAAAGACAAAAAAATAAACATAATTACACAAGACAAACAATTTACAATTGCCTCTCATTCTCCCATTCACACTAACTGATACACCCATGACATTAATTTTTAAGCCTGTGAAAGAATTACATCTTTGCATGCAAAATGAGCTGTAAGCCCTAATTTGCGGCAAAGTGGAAGGGAGTTCCATCATGAAAAGGATCGTCTCCCTCCAGATGATCATCTACGAAAGCCAATGCCAATTTTGATACCTTGATCCAAACAACCTGTCTCTTATTAACTGGTCCTCTTTGGCAAAAACCCCACTCACCGGGCCCTCCAAGCTTGTTGAAACAAGTGTCAAAAGGAATTGCAAATATGGTGTTTGACTTAAGTCTGAATGAGCCCTTACAATACGTGGAGCCCTGTTGTGCCATTACAGAAAAGTTAACTAAATGTCTCTGATCTCCCAGATGTTGATGAGTGTCTGACACTGAATGGGACCTGCGAGCATATTTGCATCGACACTCAGGGATCTTTCCAGTGCTCCTGCAGGCCCGGCTACCAGCTGCACATCGATGGCCACACCTGTGTGGGTCAGTCACTCACCGACACTCTTTCACTGTTTACCTACTCATTTGAGTCGTTTAAACAGGCTGATTCACACAAACTGCCATGAATAAGTCATCTCACGTTCTCATTTTGTGTGTGAGTTTGTGTCGTGCATAATTATTGTCTATGTGTGTGTGTGTGTGTGTGTGTGTGCTCAGATATTGATGAATGTAAACTCCAGAGTGGCGGCTGCTCTCACATCTGCACCAACTCTCCGGGAGGATACATTTGCCACTGCCCGCCTCCTCTTTTGCTAGACACAGACAACCTCACCTGCAGCAGTATGTTTCTCATTACAGTGTGGTCATCACATTATTTTAAATCAAACTGTTATTCTTATTACTTAGATTTGTGTTATTCGTGATCTCATTGTAGCTTGAGATATCGCAGTTTTAAAGAATGGTCCACACACCGAACTTTAGCACAAAATATATATTCTAACTCTTAAACAACAGTTTTGACTAATTACTTATAGCTATTGCATTTTTGAGAGAAGAATACTTGTTATTTGATGTCTTTTAATATCATCTGTCATTTTTAAAACCAATAATGTCCAATAATTTGACTGTTGCCCATAATTTAGGCTGCAACTAAAGATTATTTTATTATAAATTAATCTGCAGATAAAACTCTCAATGAATCCTATTGTCTGTGAAGTGTAAGAAAATTTAAAAAAATGCCATAAAATAAGCTAACAAATAGCAACAAATTTCGCAAGTTAGAAACTGGAATCAGGGTTTTTAGCTCTGCCAAAAAATGTTCATAATTTGTGAATATTCAATGTTAAAATATTTTTTCGAATTGAACAGATGTTACATCCTGCAAGCTAAGAAATGGAGGATGTGAGCACATCTGCTCGGTGAGGGCTGAGGGCCAGGTCCAGTGTAGCTGTCGGGCAGGCTGGAAGTTGGACGAGAACCAAAGGAGCTGCGTGGGTGAGACTTGATTTTCTGTCCTCGGTGCCACTTTTTTTTGGGAAAATCTAATTTTGTTTAAGGTCATATCTATGCAGAAGAAGTTTAATGTTTTTTTAAATTATTTTATTTTAAGTACATATTCTCTCTTCAGACTTCTCAATCTATTGAAACAACCATACAAAGATTCTCAGAGCATCATTTTGTAAACATTTATTGCTGCAAAAACAGTAAAGAGCTGGAGAGGTTTAAATGGCTACAATCAACTTCTCATCCATTTTGCACTTGCCAGGCGGGAGGTGTTCATTAAAAGCAATCATGGCAGCTGGGTTAAAAGGAAGGGTGGAAATCGGATGACTGGTTCAGCTGTGGCCACATTTTCTGGGATGATAAGCTTGTGTGCACACAGCCGAGCTTCCCTGCTCTTTCAGCCCAAAAGCACATAAACAGACTGCAAAATACAGATTGTTTTGCAGTTTTAAAATGTGTAACTGTGTAACTGTCCCACTGTCTTTTGTCATAAGATGTGAATGAGTGCGGGGACTTCACAAACGGAGGTTGTGAACAGCTCTGTTTGAACCATCCGGGGGGGGTTTAACTGCACCTGCAGGGCAGGGTATGAAGTGCGAACTGATGACCTCACCAAGTGCCAGCGTGAGTCAAACACCAAACATCAAGAAACGAAGATCCTGATGAATCTTGTAGACAGCAATAGCAGCAAAAGGGATTGCTTTATTCTTGTTTTTGTGAGGGCTTAAATTTGAAAATGAAATTATGCTTATTAACTTCTCTGCCCTTCCAGCTGTGTGTAACCCTTACTGTCACAACTATGGAGTGTGTGTGGCCCCAAACAGCTGTGAATGTCCTCCAGGCTACCCTGGACAAGGCTGCTCAGGTACAAGCTTTGACTGTTCTATATGGACACCACATATGTCATTGTAATATCACAGTTATTTGCTGTTGCTGTGAGAATCCATGTTGATTGTGTATTTCAGCCATGTGCTCCCCACCCTGTGCCCACGGAGGTACCTGTATGCGCTGGAACAAGTGTCTGTGTCCTCCTGGCTGGACCGGAGCAGGCTGCCATACAGGTACATCACCTCGGTTGTTAACGAAGCCACACTTCTGGATAAGCAATCGCTGTAGAGACTCTGTCTGTAAACACAGGCAGGATATAAGTTCAATTGAGTAAACAAAGCAGACTGCGCTAAAATAAAACAGCCACTGTTGCCTTAGCAGTTATGAGATGGTTACATTCTCTCTCTCACTCTCTCTCTCTCTCAGCGGTCTGTGAGCTGCCCTGTGCTAATGGTGGTCGCTGTGTGGGGCCTGATACCTGCCAGTGTCCCTCGGACTACACCGGCACCCAGTGCCTCTTGCGTGAGTAACAAAACCACCAACACATCTGGCTTCAGTTACACCAGGCATGCAGGTACATCGTGGGGCCTCCATGCTTGTTAGCAGCACTGGCTGGTAAAATGTGTCTTATACCATGATGGAAAAACAAAAAAGCATCGGGTAATTTAAGAAACGTCATGTTTAGATTCCACAATATACCCCCAACTTTCATTTTTCAACACAGACCTACTTATATCTGTGTGTGTGTGTGTGTGTGTGTGTGTGTGTGTGTGTGTGTGTGT